AGCCCTTTGGGGAAAATCTGAGAGACATCAGTCTAGAAAGGAAGTGTGTGTGTGTGTGTGTGTGTGTGTGTGTGTGTATCTGTGTCTGTGTTTGTTTCTACGTATCTGTGTCTGTTTGTGTGTTTGGTATCTGTGTGTGTGTATCTGTATATGTATCTGTATATATGTGTGTGTGCATGCATCTTTGTGTGTGTGCGTGCCCGTGTGTGTCTCTGAGTGTCTACCTGTGTGTCTGTGTATCTCTGTGAATGTGTGTGTGTATCTCTGTGTATGTTTGTGTGTGCCTGTGTCTGTGTGTATGTGTCTGTGTGTGTGCCTATGTGTGTGTCTGTGTGTGTGTATGTCTCTTGTGTATCTGTGTGTCTGTGTGTGTTTGCCTGTGTTATCTAGGGTATTGTGCATGCCAGACAAGCGCTCTACCTCTGAGCTATATTCCAAATTACATTTTTACTTTTTGAGACGGGGTCTCACTGGCAGTGTGTGGCCCTGATTTCAGACTCACACTGTGGCCCAGGCATGGGCCTCGCTGTTCTCCTGCCTCACCTCCTGAGTACGTAGGATCACAGCTCTACGCCACCGGGCTCAGCCTACTGTGCCTGCGGTGCGGGAGTGAAGCACAGACCTTACGATGCTCTGCTCTGGCTGTACCCAGTCCTAGCACGGTAACGCTTTCCTTATGTTTGTTTTCTGTAAGATTTATTCATTTGTTACGTATGAAGTGTTTCAGTCTGCACGCATGCCTTGCAGAACCAGAAGGGGAGATCAGATCTCATTGTAGGTGGATTTGTGGGTGCTGGGAATTGAACTCAGGACCTCTGGGAGAGCAGCCGGTGCTCTCAACCTCTGAGCCATCTCTCCAGTCCCCTTAAGATTTGTTATTTATTTTTCATTATGTGAATGGGGGGGTGGGATATGAACGTATTTAGTGTAAGTGACTAAGGAGGCCAAAGGCGTCCAACCCCACTGACGTTGGAGTTATGAATGGCCATGAGGTGGGAAATGTTTGTGCTGGGAGCAAACTCTAGACCTCTGCAAGAGCAGCGCTTACTCTTAATAACAAAGTCATTTCCCTGGACCCCTAAAATGCAATCCTTTATTTAGCTCAGTACACAGAGACACAGACTTTGAGAAGCCAACACAGAGGCAGTAAGAGATTAGGCGATGCAAGGCTGTGGAGACCAGCACCCTAAATACACAGGACAGACACAAAGCCCTCATTACAGCTACTCTTGAAGTGGTTAAGGATTTCATTCCTGCAGATAAATAAACAAAGGAGATATTAGCTGTGCATGTAGCACCAGGCCGTATTCCCAGAATTCAGTAGCTAAATGCAAAGAATTATGGGTACAATTCCACCAAGCGTCAAATAGTGAGACCTGGTCTCTGAAAACAAAGCAAACAACAACAACAAAATACAGTATAAAAGTGAGCTGCCAGACAAGAAGGCAAATCACTGGAAAATACCTTCTGGGTTCTTCCTAACCACCAGCTCGAAAGCAGAAGGAAGCTGTGTAACACTTCAGCTGCACTGAGGTTGACAGAGCGGGGAAGCCAGCATGCCTGTGATTCCAGTGAGCCTAGAGCACACACACTCAACACCTAGAGCACACACACTCAACGCCTACAGCACACACACTCAGCACCTAGAGCACACACACTCAACGCCTACAGCACACACACTCAGCACCTAGAGCACACACACTCAGTACCTAGAGCACACACACTCAACACCTAGAGCACACACACTCAGCACCTACAGCACACACACCCAGCACCTACAGCACACACACTCAGTACCTAGAGCACACACACTCAGCACCTAGAGCACACACACTCAGTACCTAGAGCACACACACTCAGCACCTAGAGCACACACACTCAGCACCTACAGCACACACACTCAGTACCTAGAGCACACACACTCAGCACCTAGAGCACACACACTCAGCACCTAGAGCACACACACCCAGCACCTACAGCACACACACTCAGTACCTAGAGCACACACACTCAGCACCTAGAGCACACACACTCAGTACCTAGAGCACACACACTCAGCACCTAGAGCACACACACTCAGCACCTACAGCACACACACTCAGTACCTAGAGCACACACACTCAGCACCTACAGCACACACTCAGCACCTAGAGCACACACACTCAACGCCTACAGCACACACACTCAGCACCTAGAGCACACACACTCAGCACCTAGAGCACACACACTCAGTACCTAGAGCACACACACTCAGCACCTAGAGCACACACACTCAACACCTAGAGCACACACACTCAACACCTAGAGCACACACACTCAGCACCTAGAGCACACACACCCAGCACCTACAGCACACACACTCAGTACCTAGAGCACACACACTCAGCACCTAGAGCACACACACTCAGTACCTAGAGCACACACACTCAGTACCTAGAGCACACACACTCAGCACCTACAGCACACACACTCAGTACCTAGAGCACACACACTCAGTACCTAGAGCACACACTCAGCACCTAGAGCACACACACTCAGCACCTAGAGCACACACACTCAGCACCTAGAGCACACACACTCAGTACCTAGAGCACACACACTCAGTACCTAGAGCACACACACTCAGCACCTAGAGCACACACACTCAACACCTAGAGCACACACACTCAACACCTACAGCACACACACTCAGTACCTAGAGCACACACACTCAGCACCTAGAGCACACACACTCAACACCTAGAGCACACACACTCAGCACCTAGAGCACACACACTCAGCACCTAGAGCACACACACTCAGCACCTAGAGCACACACACTCAGTACCTAGAGCACACACACTCAACACCTAGAGCACACACACTCAGCACCTAGAGCACACACACTCAACACCTAGAGCACACACACTCAACACCTAGAGCACACACACTCAACACCTAGAGCACACACACTCAGCACCTAGAGCACACACTCAGCACCTAGAGCACACACACTCAACACCTAGAGCACACACACTCAACACCTAGAGCACACACACTCAGCACCTACAGCACACACACTCAGCACCTACAGCACACACACTCAGCACCTACAGCACACACACTCAACACCTACAGCACACACACTCAGTACCTAGAGCACACACACTCAGCACCTAGAGCACACACACTCAACACCTAGAGCACACACACTCAGCACCTAGCAGTGTGGCAAGAAAGCACTTGATGGAAGAAGTTTTAACTAAGCTTATTATTTAACGAAGGCCTTGTGGAAACTGCATGGCAAAGTGACCCAGATGTTGGATGACAGGCAATGGGGAAGTTTTAGCACTGCTCATCGTCTCAAATAGGCTGTGGTCTGTATGCTAGGATGCTGGCAAGCTGTCTGCCTGGAGGATCTTTGTAAGGTTACAGCAGTAACAGATGGGAAGCATCTGGTCTCAATGCCCAGCATGTGTCTGGAACTTGATTGACAGCCTGCACACAGCTGTGCACACACACACACACACAGCTGTGTATACACACACACAGAGTTTTATACACACATACACACAGCTGTGCACACACACAGCTGTATACACACAACTGTGCACACACATACACACACACATACGTGCCCCTTGTCCAAGCATACTCCTCTGTACCCATCTGCATAGGCGCTTGCTCATACACACCTAGGTCAGTATATACCATGCATGCATGCATGTACCTGTACACACACCCATACATACCATCAGAAATGCTCATGCACAGACACCACATGCAGACCTATAGACACACACATGTAGATGTGTGCACACAAACACACACATCTACACAAACACAACTATCCATGCCCTGCACAGCATTGCATCTACACGTAAACACACAAATAGACACGCGCGCACATACATATCTGGGCATGTGCATAAAATCTCTCTCTCTCTCTCTCTCTCTCTCTCTCTCTGTCTGTCTCCCCCCACCCCGGGCTTCCTGTCTCTGTCCCATCTCAAAGCCAACTGCAGCCATTCTCCCAGAATTTATATCATCTGTCTGTCTGGTACCAGCTAAGGCACTAACTGTCGTGACAGTGACATGCACGTCACCTTCAGAAACACTTTCTTTGCGCAGTGTACACAATGGAAATGGCCTAGGAGACCATATTACAGTACACAGAAGACTAGTTTTGCACTGTCTTGAAAGTATTGCCAGTATCAAACTTTCCCCCAAAGTAGTGGTCTCTTTTTTTTTTTTTCCTATGTGATTAAAAGAATTGCCTCTGAAATGTTTGAAATGTTAGGACCCAGAGGGAGAAGCAGAGTTGGCCATGGGCGCGCATTTCATCTTGGCACCCTAGCGCTGCTCCGTTGGCTGGAAAAGCAGAAGTGACAATGCGCCTGCCTATGTGGTCAAACCTTAAATATGGATGCCACGGAAGAGCTCAGCTTACCACTTGGATGCTGGGAGGGGGGTGGGGTGGGGAGAGAGAAGAGAGAAGAGAGAGGGTAGAAATGAGAGAGGGAGACGGTGCCCCTGGAAGAGCAGAAACGGCACTCGAAACTGTTTGGTGACCAAGAGCTGGTTTCCAATTCTCAGGCCAGTGAAGGGTTGAGTACAGCTGGAGGAGTGGTCGGTGTTTGCAGTTTTGAGAGACGGGATCCACCTGGCTGTAAATGCTGCTGAAAGGTAGCCGCCGTGACTTGCGACGCCACCCCTTCCAAATCAGCTGGAGCAGCACTGCAGAGACTGACTGCAAGCCACTGCAGTCCAGCACCGCATGGCCCCAGGGGACAGGCTCCCGGGTGAGGCCCTTTGTGCTTTTCTTTTTCCGGTCAGCATTTTCCGAAGTCTCTCCAGAGAAAAAGTTCCATAGGCAGTAGGTTTGTCAGTGGTGAGGGGAAGGCACACAGATCCATGATGTCACTCCCAGCACCCCGGAGGAGCTCCCATAATCCTTTGGGGGAGCTCAACACACGGCCAAGTTTTATGGGTTTGACCCAGAAAAGAACTGCAGGCGTAGCTGGTCTGAAACAGGAGATTTTATTAAAGTTATCTTAAAGTACACTTAAGGCACAGGGGTTAGGGGAAAGGAAGGAGCTTGGGGAAAGTAAGACACACTGAGGGCATAGGTGGGGGCCTCTCTATAAATCGTGGAGGGCGTAAGACAGCAAGTGTGGGTACTTTAGTGTCTCAGCATTAGCTGTGTTACCGTCTTGGTGGCCCTGGAGGTGTTTCTTAAAAGTCTGCTAAGACACCTTTCTCTCTTCTTCTTTTGATGTGTGAGATTACGGGCTGACTGGAGATTCCTTGGATGGAGTTGTCATGTGATGAAGTTAAGCTAGGAACACAGAGTTGAGTGTGTGTCCTTCCCATGCGGATGAGGTCTCTGGTGCGATTCCTGGACGACAGAAGCTTTGCAGAGTGAAAGGGAGAGAGCACACGTCCTGAGGACCTCCAGGCCTCACCTGAGAGCAGGTTTCGCAGTAACCCACGGTCATCAGCAGGCACTAGGCATAGGAAGCAGTCCTTTCCCAGAGCAGGTCAAAGCCCCCCCCCCCAGTCGCAGCTGACTAGGAACGAATATTGTAGAGAGAGAAGCCTTTTCCTTGACAGCAGCTTTGGTTTTTTATCCCCCGCCAGTCGCCTGGGCTCTGCCACATTGTAGTCCCCAAATAACACACAGGAGGCTGTATTAATTATGAAGCTGTTGGCCTTGCTTGTTTTTTACTGGCTAGCTCTGACTTAAGTAATTACCCCATAATTGTTAATCTAAGTATTTCTCTTACCGGAGAAGTTTCTGGGCTTCTTATCACTATGGCGTTACATCTTGACTTCCTGTGTTTCTCCTTCCTAGAGTCCTCCTCGACTCCTAGTCCCACCTATCTTGCTTCCCTATTGGCCAACAGTGCTTTATTGACATATGCACAGGACATCCCCCATCAGAGTATGGTTACAGGGTGATGAAAAGTACTGTGTGTGTAGATGCTCTTCTCAAGACCCCCGTCATGCCCACTCCTCACCAGAGAGCAGGCCCTGTGTAACCCTCTCCTGTCTCCAAGAGGCCTTGCTCAGATCAGCCTTAGACTGAGGCACATAAGTAGCCAGCCGTCTAGGCTTGTAGTTTTACCCTGATAATGAGCATCTGCAGATGGGACTCCTGGGTCCCGCGATACCTGTAGCTACATCTCATGCTCACCCGTCTCCTGAAGTCTAGGGGTCCTGGCCCAAGAGGTCTAGCCCCTGCTTCGTTCTCAAACTGGCAGTGGTCACCATGTCGGCGGGTGCCCGTGCTGTGGGTGAGCCGTCTGACATTCTTCCTGGCATCCGTGTTATCTCTACTACCAAGCAGAGTCCTACTTTAGGGCAGAGCACAAGTCCCTCTTTCAAGTCACAATCTGCCGTACCATGATGGATGATGCCGTTTCTAGCTGACCCTTCGCTTCTGAGGCTAAACAATACTTCACTGGGCTTCTTCAGCCGCCAAGGATCCCCATGGCCCTCTCTCCCAACCCCTTAATCACTGTGTAAATCTGGCTAGGACCAGGTGCAGAGACAGGCACTGACCTCATTGTGAGCCCGAAGTTTCAGTGGTTTCTGCCTAAAACTTAAACAAATGCTGGTTTTGCTGAGCTTTGTATATGAGTCTCCTACTGCCTCCGCCACGTTGGCAGTTCCTACGGCCGGCCGAGGTTCCTGGCTTTCGATTCTGCATCCAGAGACTTGACACCGACCTCAGCTGCCACATTCTCTTCTTGGTCCCTAAAGGGGGATCTGTGCCTGACCACCCGGTTGTGGGCAGACCTCAGTTTCCGTGGCAGGACCCAGATCCCTATTTTCACAACAGCTGTCAGAGAGGGCCCCTGCCAGCCTCGTCAGGAAACCCGCTTGACTTGTGGATCCTCAATTGCCTTCAACGTGAACAGCAGTCGATGCTTCCCTCACAGGCCTCCATCTCTTCTTCCTGAGAGGTGAGAGATTCTGGAGGGTCAAGGGAGTTTCAGTTCTATCTGTCCTGTGCTCATCCAAACTCAACAAACTCAATCACAGTCCCTTTTGCTGACATGCTCACAGGGTCCAGAAATCAAGTCGACGTCCTTGGAGCAGAGCAGTGAGCACAACTGGCTCTTTTTTTTTTTTTTAAGATTTATTTATTGTTTATACAATGTTCTGCCTGCAGGTATACCTTCCCACCAGCAGAGGGCACCAGATCCCTCTAGATGGTTGTGAGCCACCTTATGGTTGCTGGGAATTGAACTCAGGGCCTCTGGAAGATCAGCCAGCGCTCTTAACGTCTGGGCGATCTCTCCAGCCCTCCAGACCGCTGGCTCTTAGCAGCTGTTTTTAAGTCTGAAGGCTGAGTGACTGACGTGGAGGGAGACAGCTGACAGACAGCTGTGCCTGGTGTGAGCGGTTCAGCAGACTTGGGGAGCTTCCTATCAAACAAATGCTAGTTATGCTCTTTCAGAACTTGGGTGGTTTCTCTTTTTTTCTTCATCTGAGTTGTGGATGATTTAAATGCAAGTGCAGTGGGTCACCCACCCCATTATCTTTTAGACTCTTGATGCTTTCAAATGCAATGCCTCCTTCCCTTTGTTCTTATGCTTCCTGTGAACAACGAGAAACTTCTCAACCGAAGATTTTGGCGGGTGGGCACCGTGTCGGTCAAGGCCTGTCCCAGTGTGCCTGGGGAACAGGTTCCACATGGGTTGTCACCACACCTAGAGTGCCGGCCCAAACCCCCTAACAGCCCAGCCCGGTGCCCAGAGGGTGGCCTACCCGTCTCTGCATCCTACAGCCCAGTTCCTTCTCATGGCTCGCTTTCAATTTTCAGACTTAATCACAGATCTGCAACGTCTGTCACACTTCCTTACTGTTGTCTGGTGGCCGTGACTACAAAAGTTTCTGGATAGGGTGATGGCTGTAGGTCAGCAAACGTGGTAACTCACTCATCAGCTCTACACGTGGGGCCTGAGGTTCCTTCACGATATTCCATTTTCTTTTTCTTTTTCTTTTTTTTATGATGGGTTTAATGAAGGTTTCCAGACAGGGTTTCTCTGTGTAACAGCCCTGGCTGTCCCGGCACTCGCTCTGTAGACCAGGCTGGCCTCGAACTCACAGACATCCTCCTGCCTCTGCCTCCCGTGCTGGGACTAAAGGCGTGGGTGTCACTGCCACCCGGTTGTTCTCCATGTTCTGGAACGCTTACTGACTCTATCTCAGTAGCGACATTTGCTTTTTCTGTATCTACGGATAAACTGTGAAGTTTTTACCCTGTTCTTTTTTTTTTCTCTTATGTGTCTGTGTGTAGAACACGTACGTGTGTGTGTGTGTGTGTGTGTGTATGTGTGTGTGTTCGCGTGTGTGGGCACATGTGTGTGCAGGCCCAAGGTTGACGTGTCATGAACCTTCTTCAGCCTCCCTTCTGTTTTAGGCAGGGCCTCCCAGTCATACCTGGAGCGTACTCACTCTCACGAGCCAGCTTGCCCCTGGGGGATCCCGTCTCTACCATTGGAGGCTGAAATTCCCTGGCATTTACACGGCTCCTCGTGGAGTAGGCAGTCTCACAGCGACATCCTCTGGGTAGCCGTGGGATGTCTAGAGTGGACAGGTAGAAACGGGAGCCGAGGAACTGCTTCCTCTCGTGTTCTGAAGACGTGATGAACTCCACCTGGTGAGGAGCTAGACGTTGAACCGGCACACACCATAGGGCCATACTGTGCCCCACATGAGACCCCAGTGGCCTGGAAGTGGGGAAAGTCCAACAGCAGGCAGACAGAGGGTGGCAGGAAAAGTGACATTTTACTCAAGGCAGCTGACAGCAGGCAGTGTCTTCACATATGTCCCCTCACAGGACCCTAAAGTTTCTCCTCAAAGGATAATTTGGGGCAGGCTTTCATAGAGTCTCTCTTAAAAAAAAAGAAAAGTATTGTGTAGTCAGTGTTCTGGCTGCATGTATGCCTGAAGACCAGAAGAGGGCACCAGATCTCACTGTGGATAGTTGTGAGCCACCATGTGGTTGCTGGGAATGGAACCCAGGACCTCTGGAAGAGCAGCCAGTGCTCTTAACCTCTGAGCCGTCTCTCCAGCCCTCATAGATTCTCTTAATGTCAATTTGTTCTTTAGAATATTTCTATACATGCTTGTTTGAGATCTGCTGACTTGGCCACATAAACGTTAAAGACGACCGTATTATGCATTTGGGGATCAGTTGACATGTTTTTGTTTTTTTGGTTTTTTGGTTTTTTTTTTTTTTTTTTTGGTTTTTCAAGACAGGCTTTCTCTGTATTATTTTGGAGCCTGTGCTGGAACTCTCTCTGGAGACCAGGCTGGCCTCGAACTCACAAAGATCTGCCTGCCTCTGCCTTCCGAGTGCTGGGATTAAAGGTGTGTGCCACCAACGCCCGGCTTCATACATGGGTCTTGTTATGTGACTTATTCGGATCAAAATAAGGCCCAGTGAGTGTGCATGTGTGAAAGAGAATGCTGTGATCCTGGAAATAAAACACACAGATGTCCAACTTCAGAGAGCTTGACTGCCGCTGTTTGTAGGCTCACAGAAAAACAGGCTGTACGCGCTATACTTTCAGCAGCTCTCCTCTTGGAAGATAGACAGTCTGCTTTCCTCTAAATTCTTAAAGGACAGACAGAAACATCTAATTACGAATTCACCTACAGGTGTGGGTGTGGTGGCATCGTGCCTTTAAGCCCAGCACTCAAGAGACAGAAGTAAGCAGCTTTCTGTGAGTTCTAGGCTAGCCTGGTCTACAGAGAGAATTCCAGGACAGGCAGGGCTACTCAGAGAAACCTGATCTCACCCTCTCCCACAAAAAAAAAAAAAAAATCACCAATGAGGGCCGGAGAGATGGCTCAGCCTTTAAGAGCTCTGGCTGCTCTTCCAGAGGTCCTGGGTTCAATTCTCAGCACCCACCTGGGAGCTCACAGCTGTCTGTAATTACAGTCCCAGGGGATCTGACACCATCACACAGACATGCATGCAGACAGAGCACCAATGTGGTCTTTGATGGAGTTGAAGACATAGTTATAATTATAGTTTTCCTTAGTTATGATAAAAGATAAGCTACATATAGGACTTTGGACTCACAAGAATGGGATGGATGATATTTTCTTTAAATCTTGCTAAATGTTAATAGACAAAATGTTGTAACTGTGTTCTTACTTGATAACTGTTCTGTTATATATAATTTGACTATGCTAAAGTTAAGACCTTTCTTTTTGTTTAAACAGAAAAGAGGAGATGTTGGGGGAAGTCCTGTGCATTTGTCAATAAAGCACTGTCTGGCCAATAGGGAATCTAGATAGGAGGGACTAGGAGTCCAGAAGGACTCTAGGTAGGAGAAACACAAGAGGGCAAGATGTAACGCCATGGGGTAGGAAGCCCAGAACTATTCTCCAGTAAGAGAAATACTTAGATTGACAATTATGGGGTAATTACTTAAGTCAGAGCTAGCCAGTAAGAAAAAAGCAAGGCCAACAGCTTCATAATTAATATAGCCTCCTGTGTGTTTATTTGGGACTGATGCAGCTCTAGAACCAGGTTGGCGGGAAGGCTTCTCTCAAGGAAAAAGCTTCTCTTTACAGATCTGACACCATCACACAGATATGCATGCAGACAGAGCACCAATGTACACAAAATAAAAATAAGCAACTCACTAGAGAAATAAAACAACCCCTCCCTGATTCGCCAACGTCTTTATGGTCAAACTCGAATTCTCCTAACAGAAAGTGTATAGGGTGTGTCTCCGAATACCTAACTACCGCTCAGATTAAGGTGAAGAACTAGGCGGATTGTGTTCAGGACTCTACATGCTGTGGTGGCCCAGTGCAATTTCCTAGCAACAACATGCACCGTCCTTGTGGTGGCGGTGGTTTGACAGGCTGACTCATTCGCAGGTACTGCGAGTGTCTGGCATTCAAGCAAACGTGACAGCCATTGTCTCACCGGGAGCACTAATCGCCAGGGCCAGCAGTGCTGAGGTCATCATTATTCTGGGGTTTCACCGTGTCAGGCCCCACACGCTCACAGCATTTCCCCCAAGACAGGTACAGCTTAAGAATCTGGGGTCCAGCTAGGCGGTGGTGGCGCACGCCTTTAATCACAGCACTTGGGAGGCAGAGGCAGGCTGATCTCTGTGAGTTCGAGGCCGGGCTGGACTGACAGCCTCCAAAACAATACAGAGAAACCCTGTATCGTAAAACCAAAAAAAGAAAGAAAGAAAAAAAAAAGAATCTGGGGTCCTTGGGAAAAGCTGCACCATCCTAATCAATAAACATAATGAAGACACTGTTTCTTGAGTATAGCGTGCGTCTGAACAATTGTCTGCCCCTGCCTCTGGCCTGGCCTGGGAACTATACAGGCTACATTCCCGATTCCCCCCTGACCACGAGGAGTCACCATAGCCGACACTGGCCATCCCTTCAGCAGGAGCTGGCCTGGGTTTCTGTACACCTTGTGTGTGACATTATGTGGGCTTGTTGTGCTTACCAGGGTACCTTCTTGACTCTCAAGCTCGTATTAATCCTACGATGCATGTCAGTGCCTGTCCTCAGGAGACCTTTTACTTCTTTTCTCTCAGCTATCAGGAATTTCAGCATACAACTCTTGTTCATAAATATTTTGTGGTTTCATTTCTTATTCACTCCCTCCCTTCCTTCTTCCCTTCTTCCTTCTTGCCCTCCCTCCCCTCCTCTTCTCTTCCCCTCCTCTCCTCCCCCTCTTCTCTCCTGCTCTCTTAACCTTCTCTTGCTATTTGTCTTGTTTTGTGTTTATTTCAAGACAGTTTTGCTGTGTATCCCAGACGGGCTTTGAACTCACCATCCTCCTGCCTCAGCCTCCTGAGTACCAGGGTTGCAGCATGCACCACCATACCGGGCTTCCGGCTTTCGGTTTCTTAGTCTCCTTGCTGGGGTAGAATCGTGATGTCTTCATCCCTGCGGACTGTGTCTGCTCATGGTACTGATTCCAGTAAGCTTCTGCCACAGGCGTAGAGGTGGCTTCGGAGACCAGAAGAGGGCATCTCCCCCCACCCCCACCCCGAGACTGGAGTTAGGACTAATTGTGAGCCTCCTGACACCGGCGGTGCTGGGAATCAGACCCAGGTCCTCCAGAAGAGCGGCAGAGTGTTCCCAACCGCTGAGCCGTCTCCCCCAGCCCTCAAATAGTGAGTTTCTACCCACATTTAGGTAGTTACAGGTTTTGTCCTGTGAGATTTTCGTGTCTATTTGCAAATGGAATTTTGGGGGAAGACTCTTGTACAGTTTAAAACCTGTGGGTCGCCGGGCATTGGTGGCGCATGCCTTTAATCCCAGCACTTGGGAGGCAGAGGCAGGTGGATCTCTGTGAGTTCGAGACCAGCCTGGACTACTAAGCAAGTTCCAGGACAGCCTCCAAAGCCGCAGAGAAACCCTGTCTCGAAAAAACCAAAACAAAAAACCTGTGGGTCTTTTTTTTTTTTTTTCTGATATGGCTTTTCTCAAGCCAAAGATCAGAAACTGGGATCTCACAGTCGATGATTAATCAAGTCTGGGCAGGCCCACTGGTTCTTGTGTTCTTCATGGCTGTTTCCAAGACACCAAAGCTGGTCTGAGACACTGAGATAGAGCCTCTGGGCCAGCAGAGTCCACAGTACTCTCTGTCTCTGTCTCTGTCTCTGTCTCTGTCTCTGTCTCTGTCTCTGTCTCTGTCTCTCTCTCTCGCTCGCTCTTCAGAAAGTGTCAGGAAATCCTGCTCGGTGGGTATTTTCACAGCAAACAACATGTGGCTCTCACGCGATAGAATGCTCCAGAACACGCTTGACTAAAGCACCTCTTGCCTTCCCTCCTCCATAGCTTCGCCTGGGCTCTCCTAACATCTGTGCTGGCTAGCTCGTACACCCCCCACCCTTCACATTCCACACTAGGTTCTGGGTCTCCCGCCTACCACCGAGGACCACCGTGCCCGAAGTGAGAATCTCTGTTGGCAGGGAGCGGAGCTTGACTCTCGACGCGGTGGCTTGAAAAATATATGCCATCTGTGCTGATTCTGTTTCCGTTGTTTTCCAGGAGGCAATGAATTCCACGGAGACCTACTTCTCAACTGAAGATTACTCCGACTCCCTGTATACTGTGCCTGTGGAGGACTTGCCGTGCTCCCTGGAAGAGGTCAGGGAGTTCACCAGGGTTTTTGTGCCAATCGCCTACTCCTTGATATGTGTCTTTGGCCTCCTGGGCAATGTTATGGTGGTGATGACCTTTGCCTTCTACAAGAAGGCCAGGTCCATGACCGACGTTTACCTATTGAACATGGCCATTACAGACATACTCTTTGTCCTCACCCTGCCGTTCTGGGCAGTGACTCACGCCACAGGGGCCTGGGTTTTCGGCAGCTCGCTGTGCAAACTGATGAAAGGCATCTACGCCGTCAACTTTAACTGCGGGATGCTGCTCCTGGCCTGCATCAGCATGGACCGGTACATCGCCATCGTCCAGGCAACCAAATCTTTCCGGGTACGGTCCCGGACCCTGGGACACAGTAAGATCATCTGTTTGGTGGTGTGGGTCATATCCATCTTCATCTCAAGCCCTACGTTCATCTTCAATAATACGTACAAGTCGCAGGGCAGAGAGGTCTGCGAGCCCCGGTACAAGTCCGTCCGGGAGCCCATCACCTGGAAACTGCTGGGGCTCGGGCTCGAGCTTCTCTGCGGCTTCTTCATCCCTCTGCTCTTCATGGTGTTCTGCTATTTGTTCATCGTCAAGACCTTGGTGCAGGCCCAGAATTCCAAGAGGCACAGGGCCATCCGGGTCGTGATCGCCGTGGTCCTGGTGTTCCTGGCTTGCCAGATCCCCCACAACGTGGTCCTTCTCATAACCGCGGTGAACATGGGCAAGATGAACCGCACCTGCCGCGGCGAGGTTCGCCTCGCCTACGCCAGGAACGTGGCTGAGGTCCTGGCTTTCCTGCACTGCTGCCTCAACCCCGTGCTGTACGCATTCGTTGGGCAGAAGTTCAGAAACTACTTCGTGAAGATCATGAAGGATGTGTGGTGTGTGAGAAGAAAGAACAAGGTGCCGGGCTTCCTCTGCGCCCGGATGTACTCGGAAAGCTACGCTTCCCGGCAGACCAGTGAGATCATGGACAACGACAACGCGTCATCCTTCACCATGTAGCACGTGTAGAAACTTGCTAGCGCGCGCGTGTGTGCGTGTGTGTGTGTGTGCGTGTGTGAGTGTGTTTGTGTGTGTGTGTGTGTGTGTGAGAGAGAGAGAGAGAGAGAGAGAGAGAGAGAGAGAGAGAGAGAGAGAGAGAGAGAGAGAGAGAGAGAGAGAGAGAGAGAGTCAAGCCCAAATAACTATGGAAATTAAGCCATCTTCCTGCAGGGTCAGAGCCAGTGGGCAGCAGGGGTGGGCACTGTATAAGTCAAACTCTCCCCCCCCCCACGTGGTTGACAAGAAACACTGGTGGCCCCCGCCCCCACGCCCGTCTTGCCTTCTGAGGCTGGTGTCCCACAAAAACAAGCTGTGGGGGGATGAATGCTGGGTTGGAGTGACGTGTTCGTGGATGTAAACATGCTCAGAAACGTCCGTTCGCAAAGGGGTCGCAGAACCAGTTCGCGCACAAAGCAAGGGCACAGCCTGTGAGCGCAGCAGAAGTCTTCCTGGGACCCCTGAGAAGCTTATGAGAGACGTTCGTCGTCCCTGATGGCAAGTCACTAGGATCCTGTACCTGGCTCCCTTTTACCGTCCTAGCGAGTGCTAGGCAGCGAAGGGTAAAGGCAGGGGCAAGCATCCACAAACTGCAACTGCAACCTGGGAAGGAGGGAGGGAGGGGTGCCTGGGTTTGGTGAGCAGCGCCTGAGCTTGCTCCCATTCCCGGAAGTGGCTTCCTGTGGTTCGCCTCCCCGCCCAGGTGGGTGGAGCCTCAGGTGACAAGCAGGGATCCCTTCCAGGCTGGGCTATGGGTTCTGCAGTCTCCAGCATAGCTTAGCATTTGTCCCATGGATGGTAAACAGGGCTTGCCCGTAGCTGGAAGTGCTTTTCTTCCGGTTTTGAAATGGAGCCGCAGATCCCAGTCGCCAAGGACTTCAGGTGAGGCCCCCGAACTGTGGAAAGCATGCTGGCCTCTGAGACCAAGTGGACTTGTTGTTTGTTTAAATTGGGGGGCTAACCCTAAGGCCTCGCTCACGTGAGGCTCTGCAAGTGTGCTGCCAGTGTGCTGTACCCCAAGGCCTTTCTGCATCTTACGTCTAGAGACAGGGGTCTCACCAAGATGTCCATGCAGGTCTTGAACTTGGGACTCCTCCTGCCTCCACTCTACAAATAGCTGGGATTACAGGCCCGTGCCACTGTGCCTGGCTCTGAGACTGATCTTAAGGCAACTTTACCCAAGGTCATGGTCAGCAGGAGAGACAGGTGTCCAAGTCTCTCCGGCCTCATCAGAAGCTCGCGGGACTCCGGTCCTTAATGTGCTGCCTAAGCAGACTGGTGAGCATGAACCGGGGAATTCGGAAACTCAGGCCTCCTTACAAAAGCTGCTGACGAGAAGGTCAAAATGCCGACGCATTGGATGGTTTGGAAGCTGAATGGTTAGTGAGCTGCAGCAATGCATTTCTACGGTGTGTGTGTGTGTGTGTGTGTGTGCACGTGTGTGTGTACTTCAGTATGGAAGACTACTTCAGGTATATTCCTCAGGCATTGTCTTTTCCTTGTCTAAAACAGTCTCTTAGAGCTCAATAAGTAGACTAGACTGGTAGGCCAGGGGAGTCATGGACCCGCCCACCCCTGCTCCCAGCATGCACCACCACAGCTTTTTTTTTTCTTTTTTTACATGGGTTCTGAGCATCCAACTGGTCTTTGTGCCTTGGTGGCAAAGGCTTTACTCTCTGAAGCATCCCCTCTCCCAGCATTTGGAGCATAACTCCCTTGGCTTACTCTCATTGTTTTACACATTGAAATATAAATTTATTCACAAGCTTTAACGATTCTGGGTCTTTTTTGTTTTGCTTTGTTTTAAGAACCATTAAGAAAGAAAGTGGGCCCAGGTATTGGTGGCCCTTTAACCCCAGCACTTGGGGGGACAGAGGCAGGCAGATCTCTATGAGTTTGAGACCACCCTGGTCTTCAAGAGCTAGTTCCAAGACAGCCTCCAAAGCCACACAGAGAAGCCCTGTGCAAACTGTGCACCCCTTTGCACAGAGCCCTGGATTAGTTTCTGTTGCTGTGGTGAAATACTCATCCTGACAGAAAGCAACTTTGGGAAGAACAGGTCTGCTTCAGTTTGTAGTTCCAGGTTGTGGGGAAGTCTAGGAAGGAAAGCCAGGGTCACAGTCGAGGGCAGAGAGAGAATGGACTCGTGGATCCTACTCACTGCCCCTGTGTCCAGATAGCTTTCTCAGTTCCAGCAACTGCCCGAGGCAGGAGGATCACCTGAGCCCAGGAGCCCAAAGCCAGCCTGAGCATCGTAGTGAGACTGTCTCAAAATGTGCCATCAAAAATAAATAATAAATAAAACTGAAACGTACTCATTGCTCTTCTGCACGGATCCTGTCCTTCAGCCCTCACGGGCTGTGACGTGGTCACGGACTCGCGGTTGGGTGTCCCCGTGAAGGATGCATAGACCCACTGCCATGGAGGCTCAGTAGAGCCCCATCACCTAGGGGCTGGTGCTGTGCTGTGGGGACCCCATGCTTCACAAATCAAAATCCTGACTCTCTCTTCTCTTCTCACGTTGCAGGACTGGGTATCAAAGCCCAGGCCGTGTGTCCCCCCACCCACCCAGCTGCACCACCAGCCTCTGACTCTCATGGGAGGGAGGGAGGGAGGGAGGGAGGGAGGGAGGGAGGGAGGGAGGGAGGGAGGGAGGGAGAGACTACCCACACTCAGTCTCTGACTGAATCTCAAACTTGTTCTTCACAAGCCTTCAAGGAGTCTCTCTCATAAAGTCACACCAAAAGTTTCAGCCCTGGTGGCGCCCGCCTTTAATCCCAGCGCTCAGGAGGCAGAGGCAGGCATTTTTATTCCATGGTAAACCTTGCCGAAAATGATCCACCTTCTACAAAGCTTTCTTTTTCTTTTTCCTCTTTTCTTTCTTTAATTTTTTGTTTGTTTTGTTTTATTTGTTTGTGTCCAGACAGGGTTTCTCTGTGTAGCTTTGGAGCCTGTGCTGGCACTCGCTCTGTAGACCAGGCTGGCCTCAAATTCACAGAGATCCTTCTGCCTCTGCCTCCTGAGTGCTGGGATTAAAGGCATGAGACACTACCGCCAAGCAGAATCAATGTTCTCAATGTCCTTAGCTGCTTGATGGTTTTCCCTCTCCTGGACAACCTGATCCAGGACAGGAGAGCTTACGGGAGACATGGAAGGGTCTCCTTGGTCCAAACTCCCACACGTTTTAATAGCATATGACAGTTTGTCAATATAATTTACATTACAGCAGCAAGCTCGGCCTTGTGGCAAGGCAAGTGATGGTCTCTGCCTGTCCTTGGTTGTCCCAGGAACACAAATGTCCCTGTCTCCTTCAGAAAGTTTTACTCAAAGGGGTATAAAGTTCAGTCCCAGACAACACGGGTGCATTATGTGACGCAGATACTTGTGACATTCACCTTCATGAAACCCAGGATGTCCTGAACTCTGGAATACAGAGAGATCCAATAGGGTCTACAATGGTACAGCTATCTGTTGTCGGATGTGTTTATACTCTTTACTCTTTGGGAGTCCACCACCCAGCTTCTAAATAAATCACACACACAGACTTATTATTTCTTCTTTTAAAGATTTATTACGTATGCAGTGTTCTGTCTGCATGTATCCTGCAGGCCAGAAGAGGGCACCAGATCTCATTATAGATGGCTGTTAGCCACCATGTAGTTGCTGGGAATTGAACTCAGGACCTCTGGAAGAGCAGCCAATGCTCTTAACCACTGAGCCATGTTTACAGCCCGGCTTATTATTTCTTATGAATGCTCAGCCTTAGCTTGGCTTGTTTCTTACCAGATACTCTCAACTTATCCTGTCTTCTTCTTGCCTCTGGGCTTTTACCATTCTCTATTTCTGTATATCTTTTCTCTACTTGTTCCGTGTCTGGCTGTGTGGCTGGATGGCTAACCCCTTCTTTTCTGGATCCTTCCTTTCTCTTTCCTTGATTTCTCCTTCTATGTAGTCTCTCTGCCTGCCAGCCCCGCCTATCCATTCTCCTTCCTTGCTATTGGCCGTTGGGCTCTTTATTAGACCAATCAGATGTTTCAGACCGGCAAAGTAACCTAAAAGAATGCAACTCATCTTTGCATCATTAAGCAAACGTTCCACAGTCGAAACAAATGTAACACATTTTAAAATAATATTCTACAACAGCTACCAGCTCCACCATGTACCTTCCTTCTTCCTCTCCTCTCCACCCCACCCCCTCCACCCCTCATGACTTCATTTTTTTAGTAGGAGGAAGCTGGAGTTGGAAGCTTCCTGGCTGTCGGCATGGCAATTGGCAGCCTGCAGGTGAAGAGAAAGGCGTCGGATGTCCTAGAACCAGGTCCTTGTAATCACCGGTCTGTAGCTATACAACTCTAAGTGGGGCTTTGATGTTCTCGGAGGATGACCTGTCTTGGACTTCTTTATCTGCGAATTTCTTTGTGGAACTTGACCACACCTCACAGCAAGTTCTGCGTGGTTGCAAGTTTATAATTGGCCACAAGAGGGCGATACGTCCACATCCACAGAAGCAGCACTTGCGGGCTCACACCTGCAGCTGATCAGAGCCTCGCCCAGCCTGTTCCCTTTGCTAGCTCTCTCGGAAGAAGGGAACCGCACCAGACAGAGCCCCCAGGGGACTCTGCGGCGGACCAGGCCAGCGTTTGCTCCTGGTTCCTTCTACCGCCTGGACAGGAGACTTCTGGCCCTGAGTTCTGAGCAGAACACGGAGTCTGGGAGAAGCTGAGGATCGTAAATCCACCCCAGGCCTGCAAGGGGGAAGGTGTTGAGATGATCAGAGTGTGGTTGGTTTCGCAGGAACCCAGGGTGGGAGCACTGGCTGTTCTTCATGTGGGAGGGTGAGCGCCTCCTTTAAAGCGCCCGCCTCGCGAGTATCATTTAGTTTTGTTTCTTGTTTATGTGTAGATAGACAGAGAGAGAGACACAGAGAGAGAGAGACAGAGAGACAGAGAGAGACAGAGAGAGAGAGAGAGGAGAGAGAGACAGAGACAGAGAGAGACAGAGACAGAGAGAGAGAGACAGAGAGAGACAGAGACAGAGAGAGAAACAGAGAGA